GAAAAAAACTCACCAACCAAATGGAGAGCAAAAATAAATAAATAAAAAGCAGGAGTTGCAATTCTCACACTTAATAAAATAGATTTCAAAGCTACAAGGATGCAAGGGTAAAAGGATTAATGTGACAATAAGAGATTTTAACACCCAGATACATAAGACACATAATGAGATTTAGATTCAACGAGACAACAAATTGATAACGATATCCAGGACTTGAACTCAGAGCCAGAACAAATAAACACAATAGAGGTCTCCATTTTAAACACATAAAATATGCATTAACCACTTTAAAACACTCAAAATATTGATCGGCCATTATTGAAACCCATTTTAGGAATGAAGTAATATTCCTTTTTCCCTCTTTTTCTTTTTTTCCCCTTCTTTTTCTCTTTTAAAAAAAAAAATAAGTGAAAATGACACTTACCTTAAGTTTCAACAAGGTAGAACTTAAAAAAAAAAAAAAAAAAAGAATTGAGCATTTCACTGTAAGTAAATTTTACCCCAAAAGTGAGTATATATCTATCTAAATGCACAAACTTGTTATAATGACTGCCATTGGCAAGCCACACATTTGTCTAATAAGTTTTCTAGAAGTCTCAATACAAAAGGACTTTATTTTTGCTTGTTGCCTGTTCTTATGTATGGTTACCTTGCTCCTAAATAGTAAACATCTCCTCTCTCCAGTAGGTCATCTGAGGGCCCGAGATTCTTTGTGCCTCTTGGACCCAGGGCAGAGATTGTTTTTCCTGGATGCCTTTCAGTCATAATTTTATCATATATTTATTAAGTTACTATCTATATGTGCTGCTGTCTCAATTGCTTTGGCAAGTGATTAGCAACCATGACAGACAGTCTAAAACTAGTACACAAGGGTAAATAATATTTCACAACATGTTTGGTCCTTGGGATGTCCTTGAGTGGTGACATGGAGAACTTGGAGGACCCTTCATACTGCCTGGTGTATACCAGGCAGATGTCAAAGACTGAATAGATGGTAGGAGGGAAGTCAATGAACATGATATCCTGAAGGAAATGTTTCAGAGCTGGTAGTTCTAAGATTTCTGAGACCAAAAAAAAAAAAAAAAAAGGTAGAGATCTAAAATTTCTTTCTATAAAAGATAAGCAAAACTCCAGCTGATCTGTCAATATCTGACATATTTGTCCTAATTGGAACAAGCTTTTTACCAACTCAGGAAGCTTGCAGGGAACAATGATCTCTATCACTGTAGCTCCTAAGTGGAGAGAGAGAACAGAAGGATGTTTTTCAAAGCTCCATTATTTTACAGGGATCATCCAAGATATTAGAATTTACTGTGAACCCAAGGGGTATGATTCTAGAGCCTCCCAACAGTACTCACAGGATGAAAAAAGGAAGTGAGGAAGAAGCTAACCATGACAACAATTTGTTTTCAGTTCAAGAATGACCTATGGAGTACATGAAACTGAGCTCACTAGTCATCATTTTGATTCCTGCTCTTCCACCATGATCATAAATACTAACTCTACTATGGAAAAATGAGGGACAGGGTTGAAAGAACTATTGACAAATAATTCCACCACTGAGTTCCCAGAAAGAATGAAAATAATGAATGCAGGTGAATTCTGGAGCATCGTTTAGACAAACTAAGGAAGATTTGAACATCAAGATTCAAGTTCATGATTCACCAGGAAGCTTATTGGCATTTCGTCTTGGAAATGAATACCACCAGATCCTTGAGGCTGAAGAGAAAAAGAATTACAAACCACCTATATGTGCACACACACATTATGCATATGGATGTGTGAATAGAACTATGCACATGGATACATCCAGAGAAAATAAATTATACAAGTTAATTTCCAGAGTATAGAACAAAGCTGGACATCCCAGGAAAGGAACCTTTTAAAGTTTAGAGGAAAGAATTCTGTGGGCAGGAATTGCTTTGGGAAATTTCCTAGAGGAGATGATTTTTTGCCAGGTAAGCCAAAGGGATCTCTGACACATTCACAGAAACACAGTGTTCACAGCAGGCAGTAGGAGTGATGTGCCTAGTTCAGGGCCATATCTTCAGTGAAGCTGCACATATCTGCAGTGATTTATTGTTCTCCTAACTCTAAAGATCTGATACACAAAAGAGGAAATGATCATGTTCCATGTAGCCAAAGGCTAAGCTAACACCCAGGATATAGGTGTAGTGAAATAAATAGACTGACCCAGAATGAGAAAAAAGCTGCTGACTACTGTCCTCTGGCAATAGGAAAGACTTTTGAGGAAATAGAGGAATCCCTTTCACTGACCACTGTTTTCTAGATATTTTCTAGATATTTCACCTCTTTCTTGCCCTGGATTCTTCCTCATAGTTTATAATCATCCTTCACATATTATTTATTTATTGTTGCATAACAAACTACTTCAAAACTAAGTGGCTTAAAATAACACACGTGTTGTCTCACAATTTCTGTGTGTCAAGATCTAATTACAGATTAACTGGATCCTTTGCTTCAGGGTCTTTCACAAGGCTGCAACTAAGGTTTTGACTAGGGGTGGGATCTCATCTGAAGGTTCAATTGGGGAAAGGTTTACTTCCAAGCTTACTTAGGTGGTTGGTAAGATTCAGTGCCTTGAGAGTTGTTGGGCTGAGGTCCTGAGTAAGTTGACCAGAGACCTCTCTCAGTTCCTTGTCACATTTGTCTCTCCAATCTGGAAGTTTGTTTCACTAAAGTCAGTAAGTGAGTGTATTCTCTTGGGTAAATGCAAGTTACTCAAGGAGAGAGGATGACACAAAGCCATGAATACCAGGAGGCAAGAATCACTAGGGCCATCTTAGACGCTGCCTATCATACTCCAGATTCCACTAACATAGAATATCTTCCCTGAACTCTGTGCTATCCCTCATATTCCATGATGCTGTTCAAACGCCTTGTTGAGGTTGTGGAAGAAACACACAAGCCCAAGAGCTGTGCCAAGCTTAGGGATGGTCTTCTCCTTCCTCCCATCCCTTGCCTGTCTCTTCATGTGTTAATTTTCCCCCATTGTTCAAGGACTTGCCAGAAACTGACTCCCCATTGAAGTCTCCCCAGGGTTTTACATGGAAGTTCCTCCAAAATGTCCACAGCCATGCCCCTGAGCACTTGATTTGGAATTATTGTGCCCACAGCTACTGGTCCCATAGTGCATGGATGGAGGGCATTCCAAAATAACATTTAGCTCTCCAGCTTCTTTTTGAGAATTTTTAGCATTTTGAAGTTTGCAGAAGTTCAAAAAGGACATGCAAATGCTTTCCCTAATGTCCCTCAATGGTCTAAGTGTGGAAAGTTCCAACAGGAACAAAGGAAGAAGGAAAAGAAGTCTTCCTGGAGTATTTTAGGCATAATTGGATCTTGGGGACATTGTCTCAGAAGGACAAAAAGTTTCCTGACTTTGTACAATTCTACTTCTAAACTTTTAATCACTTCAGGGAGCATAATAGTCCCAATGGCATCACTGATTTCAAATTGCCTTTTACATGTTCTGGTTATTCATTCGGAAATTTTGCTTAAAACATAAAACCAAGACTGAGTAGGAAGAACTAGCTTTCACTCTTTTCTTCAAATCATAGGTGGCCATCTCAACCTGAGTCTTTCAAGCTAGTGCTGCTATTTCTGGCCCACACACCATTCCTAAGCTATGGGCACATTTTCTCAGTAGGCTCCTGACAAAGGTAAGTTAGGGTTCTTATAGAGTAATACTTAACGTTTTTATTAGCACAGTCACATTCCTAACTTCTGACTTGATTTTCCAACTGGGTTGGGACTTGAGAAGGGAAGGAATGAAGCATTTTCAGTGCTATCACAAAGATCGAGGCCCATGTGAAACTCCTTGGGTCAGAAAATCTAGATGGCAAGAAGCCTATGAAACTTTTCAGTCTTAGGTCATGGACTCACCTAACTTCAGAGACTCCCCAGAAATAACATGGTCATACAGTTTCAGAGCCTCTTCTGTTGACTTTTTACAAACTCAGGAAATTCCACAAGAAGGTGAAACCACCATCACATGAATGAGAGAAAATTAGAAGGCTGCTGGCTTGGTTTAGAATAAAGAATGTTCTGATACTTGGGAGCTCTGTAAATAGGAAGCAGGCCGTTTGGGAATGTAGTGAGCTCTTCATCACTAGAAGAGATCAAGCTGAAAGCCCACGTATCAGTGTTCTGCAGAAGAGGGCAGAGGTTGGGACCAGATTTATTTGGGGGGCATAATCAGTGTGGCGGTCTACATCTGGGTGACATACTTAGGTTCAAGAACTCTTAATTCCTGTATGGACACTCACCTCAGTAGAATGATAAGAAACAAAGCACTGCATTAGTTACCAAAGAGAACTAGAGCCCCAGAAATGGTGAGCCACTATAGGTTTCTGGGGCCAGCCTTCTATTTACCTTAATGAAACATCAGATTCAAATACTAGGGACATATTGAAAATTCCAGAGCATGAAGTTACCTTGGAACCCTCTCCCCTTTCCCTTGCATCTCCCTTTTCCTGAAAGACCCAGCTGGGGCTGGTGTTGCCCATGAGAAAGATCTTGGACAACGACAGGAGTTTGCTTCATACAAAAATTGTCTAAAGAGAATAAATAGTTATAAGGTGAGGATTCACAACTAATTAAGTCACTAGTATCTGGTACAAACTTGAGGGACCATGGAAACTTTAAGTCACTTTTCTGATCAAAGTTTAATGAGGTCAATTGCCATGTAGGATGTAGCACCCTAAATGAATGTGCTGTGTGTCTTTGTCACTGATCACATGAGTTACATTATCAGAGTCATTTTAAACCTTGTGCATTTGGTGTCCTGTGGCCCCAAAATAATTTTTTATTTTGTTGTCTCTTTTTCTTGGAAATACATAAATATTGTAGACTTTCAAAACTGTTTTTTAATCTCTTAGTCAGACTGAAACTCTAGACCAGATGCACTGCTCCTATGCAAGGCAAAGAATGTTGAGTTTGGACCTTCAAGTATTTCCTTCAGTTGACAGAGGAGATACACCATGGGAAATGCCAACCAGACAGCCTCTGTGACAGAGTTTGTTCTCCTGGGCCTCTCTGCTCACCCAAAGCTGGAGAAAACGTTCTTCGTGCTCATCCTGCTGATGTACATGGTGATCCTGCTGGGCAACGGGGTCCTCATCCTGGTGACTGTGTCCAATTCTCACCTGCACACACCCATGTACTTCTTTCTGAGGAACCTCTCTTTCCTGGACATCTGCTACACAACCTCCTCAGTCCCCCTCATCCTTAACAGCTTCCTGACCCCCCGGAAAACCATCCCTTTCTCAGCCTGTGCAGTGCAGATGTTCCTCTCCTTTGCCATGGGAGCCACAGAGTGTGTGCTCCTGAGCATGATGGCATTTGATCGCTATGTGGCCATCTGCAACCCCCTTAGGTACCCTGTGATCATGAGCAAGGCTGCCTACATGCCCATGGCTGCCAGCTCCTGGGCAGCTGGAAGCACTGCCTCCATGGTGCAGACATCCCTTGCAATGAGGCTGCCCTTCTGTGGAGACAACATCATCAACCACTTCACCTGTGAGATTCTGGCTGTCCTGAAGTTGGCCTGTGCTGATATCTCTGTCAATGTGATCAGTATGGGAGTGACCAATGTGATCTTCCTGGGGGTCCCAGTTCTGTTCATCTCTTTCTCCTATGTCTTCATCCTTGCCACCATCCTGAGGATCCCCTCAGCAGAGGGGAGAAAAAAGGCCTTCTCCACCTGCTCTGCCCACCTCACAGTCGTGGTCATCTTCTATGGGACCATCCTCTTCATGTATGGGAAGCCCAAGTCTAAGGACCCGCTGGGGGCCGACAAGCAAGACATTGCAGACAAACTCATCTCCCTCTTCTACGGGGTGGTGACTCCCATGCTCAACCCAATCATCTACAGCCTGAGGAACAAGGATGTGAAGGCTGCTGTGAGGAACCTGGTATTTCAGAAATGCTTTCCCCAATGATGTCTGGGGGAACAGATTTCCACTAGCTCTTTGCTTCTTGGCTGCTTTCACCCACAAATCTCAGAAGAGAATGTTTTCCAAAGAAGAGACATGTGAAGAGTGATTACCAGAAAATTGAAGTACTCATGTAATAGATCACTTTAGCTGTGATTGAACCCAATGAAAAGGCCGAAACCTAGAACCCAGGGGGAGTGTGGCTTGAGGGGATGGAAGCAGGATGCTGCTGGTTACACAAGGAATGATTTTTTTTGTTTCTCCACTGTTCAAGTCTGAATTCAACCTTTCGTGAGCAGGTGGTTTCTCTGTTTTGGGAAAAACGCCCTAGTGCACCTTTGTGTTACAAAAATGTAAAGCCAAGATCCTACTCTTGAAAGGAGGCACTGAAGACACCATGGGACAGAACTTCATGACCCTGCCCACTTCCCTAGCACAGTGCTTCCCAATCTTTGTCTTGCCATGGAGCACACAGAAAATAATGGGATGCATATGGCACCCCAGGGTGAGTGGATGAATCTATTCATGGCTGAAGGCAATTCACCTGGGGGCTTAGGTCACTACAGGTTCTTCTTAGTAATCCCAGGAAGACTCTGAGCTTGGCACATCTGTAGCCTATAGCACATTAGCTGGAATATTCTGCCTGAAGCAGAATGTGTCTTCCCTTAGCCCCTACTGAGAGGACAGTCGTGCTCTCTCCTTTGGCTACAGATAATTGGAGAGTTGACCCAAACTGGGCTAGTCATATTTTCTCTCCAAGGCATTTGGAATTTGGACATAGAGTCACCTCTCAGTTGGCCCAAGGCTCTTGAACTGAGAGACCATGTAAAGCTGCGATGAATGTGACCCTGTATCTAGCAAGGAAGAGAAAGCTGTTCTGCAGAGAGAGAGATGATGAAGCAAATGTGCAAAGAGGACCAGAGCTACATGAAACAGAAATAAAGGCTGCAATACTTAGGCTAGGTACTTTTTTTTTTGCGGGAAATTTTAATCCTGTAGAAAGAATAAAACTTAGGTATTCATCTTCCAAATCCAAAGATGATCTGCTCATGGCAGATCGTGTGTGTGTGTGTGTGTGTGTGTGTGTATGTGTGTGTGTGTGTGTAAAATCTTTAATTTTCAAAATTTTCCTGGGTACATAGCAGGTATATATATTTATGGAGTATATGGGATATTGCGATACAGTCATACAATGTATAATAATAACATCAGGATAAATGGGGTTCCATCACCTCAAGCATTTATCCTTTGTGTTACAAACAATCCAATTATACTCTTTAGTTATTTTAAAATGTACAGTTAAATTGTTTGTTACTATAGTCACCCTGCTATGCTATCAAATACCAGATCTTACTCATTCTGTTTTTTGTACCCATAAGCCATCTCTTCCCCTCTACTCTCTCATCACCATTCCCAGCCTCCGACAACTATCATTCTACTTTCCATCTCCATGGGTTCAATTGTGTTAAAATTTAGCTTCCACAAATAAGTGAGAACATGCAAAATTTGTCTTTCTGTGCTGCTTATGGCCAGTCTTGTTCTTCTGTAGCCCTGTGGATTATTTCTCCTTCTCCTTAATCATTCTAAAGCAAATCCCAAATGATAATAGCATTCCATCTTGAAAGATTTTAGTATTTATATCCAAAAAAGATTAGTACTCTTGTAAAAATATAGTCCCATTTAATATCTAACATACAAATAAATCACCTAAAACTCAATAATTCCTTGATATCATCAATTATCCAACGTTTATATTTCCAGAAATGTCTTATAAATTATTTATTTTAATTTTTAAATTCAATGAGGATCCAAATAACAGCGTTATTGTGATTTGTCTCTGATATGGTTTGGCTGTGTCCTTACCCACATCTCATTTTGAATTGTAGTTCCTGTAATCTCCACGTGTTGTGGGATGTCGTGAGAGGGACGTGGTTGGAAGTAATTTAATCATGGGAGTGGTTACCCTCATGCTGTTCTCATGATAGTGAATGAGTTCTCATGAGATCTGATGGTTTTATAAGGGCTTTTCCCCTCTTTTGCTTGACACTTCTCCTTGTTGCTACCATGTGAAGAAGAACATGTTTGCTTCCCCTTCTGCCATGATTGTAAGTTTCCTGAAGCCTCTTCATCTATGCTGAACTGCGAGTCAATTAAACCTCTTTCCTTTATAAATTATGCAGTCTCAGGTATACCTTTACCAGCAGTGTGAGAATGGACTAACACAGCCTCTTTCAGTCTGTATTTCCCCCTCCCTTTTTCTATCTTTCCCTCTGCCTCTGTTCCTCCCACCACCACCCTGCTTTTAGGCTAGATTTTTTTTTTTTTGGAAAAAATAGTTTCCCTTAATGGTAAAGTATAAAGTTTACCACAGTCTGATTTTGCTGATTGCAGTTTTGTGGTGTCTGTCTTTGTGTTTCCCATAAATTGGTAATTATATCTAGTTATTAAGTTTTGTGTGTGTGTGTGTGTGTGTGTGTGTGTGTGTGTGTGTGTGGTGTTATGAGCTCATGGCTCCTGACACCTTCTGCATGAGAGTCAGTTGAGAGCAAGGCCCTATTTTTTGCTAAGGAAGCATCTGTGGACAACACAGAAAAAAACATGTGCCTGTGAAACTTATATTCTAACAGGAGAGGAATAAGCAATAAACAATTAGAAAAATAAACAGGATGTTAGAAATTTTATGGAATCAAGACTAAGGCATAAAGGATGACTGAATACATGCATCTAATTTCATTCCTCCTAAAAGCCATGAAAACTATAGTCTTTCTTTCTTTCTGATAAACTCCACAAGGTTAAGGAGAAGTAAGATAACAACAGCAAGAACACTGTGAAAGTTAGGAAGCAGATTAACTCGCGATGATTGCCATGGCAGATCTGACAGAGCCAAATCCCAAGCCAGAAACTTGGAAAGCTAGGTGTCTTACTCCATTTTCTGCTGCTTTAACAGAATATCTGAGACTAGGTAATTTATAAACAGTAGAAGTTTATTTGGCTCCCAGTTATGGAGGCTGTGAAGTCCAAGAGCATGGCGCTGGCATCTGGTGAAGGCCTTTGTGTTGTATCATCCCACGGCAGAAGGTGAAAGAGCAAGGAAGAACATAAAACAAGGAGAGAGAGGAGGCCAAACTCCTGCAATAACTCTCTTCTGCAATAGTGGCATTAATTCATTCATGAAGGCTGAGCCCTCTAGGCCTAATCACTTCTTGTAGGTTCCGCCTCTCAGCACTGTTATCATGGGAATTAAATTTCACCATGAATTTTTGAGGGGACATTTAAACCACAGTTATAGGCAACAACTAGATTTGTAGCACAGAGAAACTCACTGTACCAAGTACCTCTAGGACTGGGGCGTAAGAAGTACTGCTTAAAAGGAAGACTAGGTGACAAATGTATAAGAAACAGAGTCCCTATACCCCTTCATTCATTCCATGACATTAGTCAACTATTTCTTGCCCACCCCAACCAAAGTTTTATTCTCTGTAGAGGGAAAATCATGGCTCTCTGGACTGGCAGACAACAGCCACAGCAGAGAGCATGGGTACTTTATTCTTTCATGGAGGAAAAAAACAATTAGCATAAAAGATCAACAATCAAAATGGCTTCTGATTGTACCAGAATTACCTTCTAATTCCGAAGGAAGATGATTTCCAATAAGTTCCTAGAGTTCCACATACTATTACGATGATTGATTAATTTTATGTGTTAACTTGACTGGGTGATGGGGTACCCAGATATTTGGCCAAATATTATTCTGGAGATGTCTGTGAGGGAGTACCTTTTGAAAATGCATAGATTGAGGAAAGCATATTCTCCCTAATGTACTAAGCCTCATTCAATCAGTGAAAGGCTTGAATAGAACAAAAAGGATGAGTAAGAGGAAACTCCTCCTGCCTTTGAGCTGGGAAATTAGTTTTTCAGCAGCTCTCCTGGGCCACCAGCCTGCTGAGTATAAATCTTGTGACTTGTTAGCCTTCATAATCACATAAGCCGGTTCCTATGACACACACACATACATGATTAGTAATATTCCTCTGGAGAACCCTGGCAAATTCATCCACCAAATTATCGGTCATTTACGGAGGTTAAATAAAAATATGTTCAGACACATAAGATCTCAAAAATGTATATACAATACACTCTTTCTCAAGAAATTATTCAAGGCTGAGGGCCATGGCTCATGCACTTGAGGAGGCCGAGGTGGGTGCATCACCTGAGGTCAGGAGTTCGAGACCAGCCTGGCCAACATGGCAAAACCCCATCTCTACTAAAAATACAAAAATTAGCTGGATTATGGTGGTGTGTTCCTGTAATCTCAGCTACTCAGAAGGCTGAGGCAGGAGAGTCACTTGAACCCAGGAGGTGGAGGTTGCAGTGAGCCAATATTATGCCACTGTGCTCCAGGCTGGGCGACAAGAGTAAGATTCAATCTCAAAAGAAAAAAATAAAGGAACTTATTCAAGAATGTGCTCTATCAAAATAAGAGATTAAACCAAGAAATAGAAAGAAATTGACAAAAGAAACAGAAGTTCCAACGCATAAGAGAGGTGTAAGGAGTCCCCAGGATAGTAAAGGAGATCCTGGCATGACAGTTGTACATTCCACAGAGAAGGCAGCCAGCCCAGAGGGCAGCCCTGTGACTCCAGAGACAGGCATGTCAAGGGCTCTCATTCATAGACCCCTGCTGCCTATGGTGATTAACTTGAGGACAGAATGCCCCCCACAGCCTGGCCCACATTCTTTCCTGCACTGGCCTTATCTTGGCCATGCATGTATAAAATACCCTCTTATCTCTCCATGTCTTGCTGACTGGATTAGCAGAGGACACTCATTCCACTCCAGAGAGCGTTCTGCTTTGATCTGTTCCCAAGAGTGGGAAGAGGGCCATAGTCAGAGCTTAGAAGCAGAAAACATAAAACAATCCACTCTCTCTGATGATATTTCCGCCGGATGTCTGGTACCTGGCCACACTACAGCACTGTCTGACTTACCCAGAAGGGACTATTAAAACTGAGAGCTTAGATTCTCGGGTGAGTCTTCCCCAACATAGTGGCAATATTTTCTTTTCATCCGAAAGCTAGGTTTGCCAGTCAGAATGACTATTATTAAAAAGTCAAAAAATAGCAGATGTTAGTGAGGATGTGAAAAAGGGAAACATTTATATATTGTTTGTGGGAAGGCAAGTCAGTAAAACCTCAAGGGAAAACAGTATTGAGATTTCTCAGAGAACTAAAACTAGAACTACCAATCTACTTTTTTACATAATTAATTTTTTTTGAGACAGAATTTTGCTCTTGTTGCCCAGGCCAGAGTGCAATGGTGCGATCTCAACTCACTGCAACCTCTCCCTCCCAGGTTCAAGTAATTCTCCTGCCTCAGCCACCCAAGTAGCTGGGATTATAGGCATGTGCCGCCACACCAGGCTAATTTTTGTACTTTTAGTAGAGACTAAAAATGGGGTTTTGCCATTATATAATTCTTTTCCTTTATGTAGATACCCAGTAGTTGTATGTACATAAAGGAAAAGAATTAATTATGTAAAAAAGATACATTCATTGTCACATTTATCACAGCATTATTCACAATAGCAAAGATGGAATCAATCTAAGCATACATAGGCAGATGTCTATATACACAATGGAGTACTCTTTCAACATAGAAAAGAAGGAATTTTAGAGCAACATGGATGGAACTGGCCACGTTGGATGGCCAGTATCTTAAGTTATGCAACACAGAAACAGAAAGTCAAATACTGATGTGTCCACATGGACACAAAGTGTGGACTAATCGACACTGGAGACTTGGAAGTGTGGGATGTGAGGGGGGCTGAGGGCTGAGAAATTACTTAATTGGCATGATGTACATTATTTTGGGTAATGCTTGCACTAAAAACCTAGACTTCACCACAACTCCATATATCTGTGTAACAAAACTTCTCTTGTACCCCGTAAATGTATTGTTTTAAAAAGCTAGGTTTGCAATTGTTACTCCATTTTTCAAAGTGGAACAATACATTATAGACTAATACATTGCAGAAGGTAAAACTATGAAGGAAATAAAGGGAATACATATTAGCTTTCTCTTTCTGCATAATAAACCACCCCACCATCAGCAGGTTAAAACAACACCTAATTATTAGCTCACAGTTCCAGAAGTGAGAAGGCTGGGTGAGTTGTGCTGGACTCAGAAAAGGTCAGCTTTCAAGCTCATTGGTACTGGTGGCAGGATTCAATTCCTTGTGTTTTTTAGACTATGGTCCCAGTTTCCCGGCTAGCCACTGCCAGGGATCATGCTTAGCTCCTCGTGGCAGCTCTCTGGTTCTTGTTTGTGGCTCCCTCCAACTTATAAGAAAGAGCATGTGGAATTCTTCCCATACTTTGAATCTGGCTTCTTCTTCTGCTACTAACCAAAGAAAACTGTTTTTAAAGGGCTCACTTGATTAGGTCAGACCTCACTGGATAATCTTGTAATCTTAAAGCCAACTGATTTGGAACTTTAGCGACATTGACGAACTCCCTTCACAGCAGTACCTAGGTGAGTGTTTGATCACCATGGGAAGGGAGTTGTGCGATGATGTGGGGATCGTTAAGATTCTGCCTACCACAAAATTATTTCCACAGAAGTCAAAATGGTGGTCATTTCTTGGAAGGGAGGGAATAAGGAAATATAATTGGATAGGGAAATAAGAGGGGCTTCTAAGGTTCTGGAACATCCTACTTTTAACCTGGTTAGAGGGGGGGACATGGAAGTGTATTTTCTTTTTTTTCTTGAATGCTGTACATATACTTTTTATGCTCTTTTGTATGTATAATATATCTCACAAAAAGAAAAACACTTAACACAAGACAAAATGGCTTATGACTATTAATGTGGATGTATTTGATTCTTGGATTTTTAGAACCAGGCAGGCATGTTCATTTGTGAAAGAGGTGGGCAAGATTGCCCAAGTGTTTTTGCTGACACTGGGCAGGCTCTTCTTGCATACCAAGAACATCTGTGGAATAGAGCTCCTCACATGTGCCACCTACCATCGCTGGTGTTAGGATTACATGGGAGAGGGAAAACTGGAGCGTGATTAAGAAACTATAGTGTGGAGCCCAGAGAGGACTCAAGATGGCGCTGTGAGAACAACCCAGGATTGAAGCTCTCGCTGGATGCGCGAAGAGGGTGAGTCGGGGATGCATTTCCAGACGGATCTTAGTTGCCCACAGAACGGGGAAATTCCCAGGTATAAAAGAGACGTGGGACGCCAGGCAGAGGTTTTAGCTGGTGTAGCCAGCAGCTGGTGCGGCTGCAGCCTGCGCCAGAGTGCAGAGGCGCTCCACAGCGCTCCATACAAAAGCACACTGTTACGGGTGCCCTGTTGAACCGGCAAACTGAGACCTGAGAGGGCTGAACTTGAGACTGAACAGGACTTGGACAGTGAGCCAGCCCAAGAAATCCCAGGGACACAGAGTTTGGGGTAGCGCAGTGCGACAAACAAAACAGCCATTCCAAATGCTCCCGGTGAGGAGGTTCCCTTAAAATGCAGCTCCGTGGGGAAGGGGCATCCGCCATTACCGAGGCAATCAGCCCCTACTGAGGTACATGCCCATTGCTGACGCAGCCTGCCATTGCTGAGGCAACCCGGTACAACA